TGGCACTGGAAAACAACAACACTGCATTAGGTAAATCTGATGCAAAAGCCTGCTTTTAAGTTTTGAAGAAAAAAGATGTCATTTTGAGAACTAAGGTGCCTCAAATCCAAATCATAGTATTTGTAATTGTCTCATATGCATGCAAAAGTTGGGCAGTGAAAAGATGAGAGATAGTTGTCCATGCGTTGGAATGATGGTGTTTCTGGACAGCTTAAAGAACGAACAACTCTTGTTTGGCAATAGATGCAGCCAAAATGCTCCTTCCAAGCGAGTATGGTGAGACATCCTGACACATACTTTGAACATGCTATCAGGTGGGATCATTCCCTGGAAAATTACAGCATGTTTGGCAAAGTGGAGAGTCAGCAACAAAAGAGGAAGGACCCCACCCTCCCCCAAATGAGAGGGATTGAGACAGTGGCAGCAACAGTGGGTTCAAAGCTAACGGTGGGGAAGATGGCCAGGAGCTGCCAGTGCTTCGTTCTGTCGTGTATCGGGTTGCCACGCGTCAGAACCGGCAGCATGGAAACTAACAACAACAACAAATTGTCTGCGGTTAGCGTGAAACTTGATGCGTTTAGTTAGCAAAACGAAGGCTAAATCAAATCAAACGTAAGCAGACAAAATTCATTTGTATCCTTATAAATCCCGTTTTATGTGATATGCATGCATGTTCACATTTCTTTTGAAAAAATGTCTAATAACTGACTAATCTCTCCCGTTTCTAGACAGCTAATTGTCTGTTGTACAGTAATGGCATTTCTTTGAAATCTTTTTTGGGAGCTGGTTAGCTTGAGATGATGAGTAATCACCTGGACTTGGCAGTGGTGAAAAACCTGAAATGTAACTGTCATCTGCTCATCCACAGATCTTTAATGAGCAGTCTCACTGCCTGCCACTTCCTAAATTTGTAACTTAAAAAAAAATAATCGCTGTTTCTTTGTCACACTAAAAAGTAATGTACAATGCAAACTGTATTTTGGATGCAGTTATGAACTTAGCTGTGAAAGAACAGTGTTTGAATAAATATGATCTGTGTAGGAAGGGGCAGAGGTAACATGGTGCCTTGTTTTCCTTTGTCAGTGGTTGTAAAGCTTACTCAAGCTCTTTGTTTTGGTGTGTGTGTGTTTCTGTAAGAAACTGGGGTAAAGCTGCATTAGAAGATGGGCATCTCAGTACACTATCTCTTTCAGTTATGTATGTGTGTGTTTATATATATAAATTGGAAGTCCTGGTGTGGCTTTCTAGGATAAACACTGTACCACAAGGTCAGTTTGAACCACAAGGTCAATAGTTCAAACTCACTGACTGCTCCTCGGAAACTCTATACAGGGTTGCTATGAGTCGGAAGCGACTCAAAGGCATTTCACAGCTACAGCAAAATATATTAATGGGTAGTGAGGGATGTAATTATAAAACGGCAGATAACAAGCATCTGATGCATGTGTCGGGTAGGTAACATGTACAAACTAGGGGTTATTTAGATCGTTTGAATACTTTCTGTAATGTGGATGTTAATATTCCCCCAGATTAATAAAGAAACATTCATCCAAACATCTATGCACAGTAGGAGATACTCTGAGGATAGTAATTTCCCATTTGATCATGATTTAACATCTCAATTTCAAGGACACATCCCAGTAATAAACTGATGTGTGTAATAAGTTCAGTCAGGGTTCTTAGTCTTCCAGTGTTAGCTGTGTTTTATTTATGTGAAAGTGATACATTGTTTTTATTGGTAAATGCTATCCAGTTTGTTCTGATTCAGAGCAACCCTGTATATGGTTTCCGAGGCTGTAAATCTTTGTGGGAGCAGAAAGCCTCTCAGTTTATAAAAGTTGTTAGTTAAGTGCTACCGACTCAGTCCCAAATCATAGTGACTCTGTATAGATAGCATATCTGAGGAATGGCTGGTGAGTTTGAACTGCCGACTTTGCGGTTCATTGTATTATCCAGCAGCACCACGTCAGAGCTCCAAGAATTAATATAGTTATTAAATTCTTATTTTACATTTCATGCTATTTGGCAGTCAACTCTTGATATGGTGCAGTTTATAAACTGAGAACTTAGCTTGACCCTTTTACATTCTGCCTTTGGTCAACTGCATTTTTAATATCATACTGTCAAGTTTGTTAGCAATTACATTTGCATAAGTTACCACTGTTCTGGGATCTAGGGGTGGCGGGTGGTAGTGTGGCGTGGTGTCGATTCTGACTCAATAGAGATCCTGTATAGGGTTTCTGAGGCTATAGATCTTGATAGGAGAAGAAAGCCTCATCTTTGTCCCTTGGAACGGCTGGTAGTTTCCAACTGCTGACCTTGATTTTAGCAGCCTGACTCCTAACAACTACACTACCAGAGTTCTTGGAAGCTAGGGGTATAAAGTGAAAATATCGTTTCCTGCCCTTATCGAGCTTACCTGAGGCTCTGCAAATAGAAAACTAATTAGAATAGATGATAGAGAAAGTGATCATCCTTTGTGTGTTCTCTGCTGGAATGAAACAAAAATCAATAGGAAACACTTTCATACAGGAGTCCTGGTGTGGTAATTGTAGGCTACGCGCTGGACTGGTAACCACCTGGTCAGCAGCTCAAACCCATCAGCCGCTCCCATATACAGGGTTGCTTTGACTCAGAACTGCCTTGATGAGACTTAACAATTTTTCTGGAACAGGAGACTTAACAACCCAAATAACCATTTGCACTTTGTAGATATTAATTTGGTTCCTGATTGAAATAAAGTGAGTGACTGTAAAAAGACATTGTTGTAACAAATAATAATGGAAATTTTGAATATAGACTCAGCATTAGATACTAATTTTGTTAGCTGTGACAGTGATGTGATATTAGAGTTTTCATTTTATAAAAGAAATGATCCCTGTGAGGAATCTGTCAGACAGAGAAGTATTTGTGTCTACTGACTCCATGGCACTATACACTAACAGCCTTAGGAAAGCACACACATACCGAAAACTGTGTTGTCAATTAGCAAGATCTCATTTGGTACCTCTGGTGCTCAGTGGAGGCCTGAGGTGGCCACTCTGTGGGTTCATGCGCTCGACTACAAAGTCGGTTTGAACCACAAGGTCAGTGGTTCAAGCTCATCAGCCGTTCCTCGGAAGCCCTATGCAGGGTCGCCATGAATCGGCACCAACTCGATGGCATTTAACAACATCAGCCTGGTGTTCATAAATATTAGATGGAAAGCAGTGCAAGTTTTAAATCCTTGAAGTAATCACACCTGCTTTAATCCCCGTGCCTGGTGTGGAAATTCTTAGGGGAATGAGGTTTTTGAGTCGGCAGCCTGTTTGAGTCTGCTACCTCGGGCTATAGTCAGAGCTGAGCAGTATGCTTTCTCCCTCTGCATGTAACTTCTTTGTTTATCTGCTTTTTAAGAAGCCATTTTCTTCAGTAATCTGTACACTGTATGCTATACTTTTTTTCATCCTTGCTTGGGCTGTTTTTTCTTCTCCTTGTCTGTCTCCTTTGTGTGACGGTCATGTCAAGCCTTGAAGCAGGCACTACTTCTTGAGAAAGATCCTTTTGTACTTAGACTCGTCTGACTCCACCTACAACTGTGGATTGTGATATTTTCATATTGTCGTGTATATCTTAACATTTTCTTTATTCCAGTTGGGTAATCTTGTATGTTTATTACACTTTTAAGGTAATATGTAGTCAAAATGGTCTTCGTTTTGCTCCCTCTTAGGCATTATCATCCTGAAGTGGGGAGAGTGGGCAGAGTAATAAACTTATGAATGAGCTGCATTTCTGTGACTGAAAAGGCTAAGTGAGGTGCCGCTGGATCTCTGAGTGATGGAGAGGCCTTTTCTCTTTGTCTTTGTTTTGGCCATGTTGTCTTTGTTTTGGCCATGTTGGTTGCGATTGCTGGATGAGTAAACTTGGAACGTGTGAGATGTCTCAGTGCCTTTTGTCATACTCTAAATGTTGGGTAAAGTGACGGGTCGGAGAAAAAGAGGAAGACCCCCAGTGAGATGGCCTGGCACCATGGCAACAGCAGTGCTACTCACTGTAGCAGTGATGCTGAGATTGGTGTAGGACTGGGCACTGTTTCATTTCCTTGCGCCTAGGGTTGCTATGAGTCGGTACTGACTTGATGGCACCTAACAACAGAAACGAAGGAGCTCTGGTAGCATAGTGATTACGAACCGGGCTGCTAACCTCACGGTCAGCAGTTTGAAACTACCAGCTGTTCCACGGGAGAAAGATGAGACGTTCTGCTCCTGTAAAGATTTGCAGCCATGGAAACCCTATGCAGGGTCACTAGGAGTCAAAACTGACTCCACGGCACATAACAACAACAACAGCAATGAGTTCGTGACCTTTGGTGTTGATGAGTAAATCTGTAATTTTTGTTTCAGAAAAGCCGGTGTCTCCCAAGTCAGGAGCATTGAAGAGCCCTCCCAAAGGATTTGATACAACTGCAATTAACAAAAGCTATTATAATGTGGTAAGTAATCTTTAAAATTTTTATTTTTTAATTATTCTTTTTAAATCTCCAGAATTCAACAATATAGAATCTAGGAACTATCTAGATGAAGAAGAAAATAATACCCCTTACTTGCCATGTAGTTATAACCACTGTTGATATTTTGAAGTGTTCTCTTAATTCTTTGCATTTTTATGCTTTTTATTGTGTTGCAAAGTGTCATAATAAAACAAACTCCAATTCAAGAAGTTACATGTACAAATCAGTGACATTGATCATACTCTTGAAGTTGTGTAATCATTCTCGCTGTCCTTTTCCAATCAGCGCAGTCAGTGGATTCTTAATCAAAGCTCCTCGTTTCCCCTCCTTCCCACCCACTAACCACTACCAGTCTTCAGTTTCTGTGTATTTACTTATTTCAGAGAACTGATTGTTCTTTTGCATCTGCTGCATTTTGCTCAGCATGATGTTTTCAGTTTCACGCATATTGTGTCATGCATTAGGACTTCATTTCTCTTACTGGCTGAATAATAGTCCTTTGTGTGTATATATCAGGTTTATTTAATCCATGCTTCTGTTAATGGACATTTCGGGGTCTGCTGTTTGGCTTGTGTGAATAGTGCGGCGGTGAACATGGTGTGCAGGTTTCGCTTTGTATCCCTGCCTTGACTTCTCCTGAGTGTAGACCTCGAGTTCGGGCTGCTGGGTCATGTGGCGTCCTGGTGTGGCGCTATAGGATAAGTACTGGACTGCAAAGTCAATCTAAACCACAGGGACGGCAGTTCAAATACACTAGCTGCTCCTCAGAAACCCTATACTGGGTCGCTGTGAGTCGGAATCAACTCGACAGCACTTACCAACAACATGGTAATCTGTGTTCAGGTGTTTGAGGACCCTCCTGGCTGTTTTCCACAATGGCTGTCCTATGTCACATTCTCACTAGCAGTGGGTAAGGGTTTCATTTTCTCCATGATGTGTCCAACACCTGTTTTCCTTTGAAATCTTTACCATTCTCATATAGGGGAGGTGAGAACTCATTGTTGATTTTTTATTACTTTGGTGGGTGCTGCGAGTTAATGTGCTGACCTGCAAAGTCAGTTTGAACCACAAGGTTGGTGGTTAAAGTTTACCAGCCACACCTTGGAAAATCCTGTACAGCTTTGGAACCGACTCGACATGGGTCAGAACCGACTCAACAGCACTTAGTAACAAAACTGCCTCTAGCAGTGAAGTAGGTGGGTGCTGGATTGCTAAAGCAGAGCTCTCTGGAGGGAACCCATCAGCTGTCCCATAGCTTCTGTAAAGGTTTACAGCCTTGGTATCCCTGGGGATGGGGGTTGGGGGCAGTTCTGCTCTGTTGTTCTGTGGGCTTGCTGTGAGTCAGAATCTCATGGACGCCAAAAAGGTAATGGCTAGCCATGTCCAGGGCAATTTCCGTGTGCTTGCTGACTACGTGATTATCCTCTTGGGTGACGTAAACTGTCTGAAGTCCTTTGTCCATTTATAAATTGGATTGTTTGTCTTTTTGTTATTAAGTTGTAAGATATTAAAATATATTTTGGACACTAGACTGTTTGGATATATGGTTCCTGGAATTTTCCTTCCAGTCTATAGATTGATTGTCTCGTCATGTTGTTTGAAGTTTTTATTGTGAATTGAGTGATAGCTTAGATGGGAGAACATCACCTTAACATTCATCCTTTTGAATTTCGTTTTCCATCGTCGTGTTTTTTGATAAAGCCTTTTGATACACAAAATTACTTCATTTTGTGAGGTTCTATGTTTATATTTTGTCTTTTGCTTCTTGTGCTTTTGCCATATCTGATAAAATCAGTAAACATTCAGTCCCATAGCCATGCCCCTGTATTTTATTCTAAGAATTCTATGACTTTAGTTTTCACATTTATATTACTGCAGTATTTTTGTTGTAATATTGTATGTGTGGGATTGTGTGCTGCTCCTGCCATGTAACATATTGTTGTGATTGTCATTATTTGTCCATACCATTGTTGTTGTTAAATGAGTGCCGTTGAGTTGGATATGACTCATAGAGACCCTGTATAGGGTTTAAGAGGAGCAGCTGTGGATTTGAACCACCAATTTTGAGGTTCAAACCAACCTGGCAGTGCAGTGCCTTTTTCTGCCATTATAAGGCTTGAATAAATGAGATCTTTTAAAATGTTAATATGATTTAAAATTTTTATATGCATTGAATATAATTACAAGCAATCCTTAGTTATGAACGAACCCCCCACCAATACTATTATATTGAAATTTTGACGTGTGTACAGTAGTTTATATTAACAAATGTGTATTACTTTGTAACACACATCAAAATGTTATTGCTAATGCTGCTAAATGACACCGAGTCAGTTCCAACTCATAACAACCCTGTGTGGTGTTTCCGAGGAGCACTGACCTTGAGGCTCAAATCAACCTTGTGATTTTCTGCGTTGTCCCACAGTGCCACATCACGACTCCTGTATATGACAAACTGATGGATTTAATTAAAAATTAAACTGAAACACAGACTTGGGAATGGGACTCATTTGTAATCTGGGAACTGCCTATAAATCAGGGAAACCCCCTAGTATTTGGAATAGATTATAAGTACTTCAGGCAAAGTTGTTAGTTTAAACCTACCAATTGCTCCTTGGAAACCCTAGGCAGGGTCACAATGAGAAACACCAACAACAACTTTAGATTGTTAAAGTTGCTAGTTTATTTTGCATCTTAAAGTCTTCCTTTGGGTTAGTGTTTGTATGTATGTGAAGGAGCATGGTAAGCACTTATCTGAGAACTAAACAATCCTGGCTGGAACCTCCTCAGTTCCCTGCAGGAGAAAGACTTGGTAGTCTGCTTCTGTCAAGTCGGCTGTGAAGTGCCAGCCAGTGAGTGCCCGCTGACGCGGAGTGCCTGCTCACAGTGACCTACTCTGGTTCTCTGCCTCTCAGCCTTCTCCCTAGTTGTCTGGAGTACTTTTTCTTTCTTTTTCTGTTTTCTCTTACTTCTCTCTTTCATTGTTTGTTTCCCCCCCACCCCCCTGCACCTTCTTTTATCCTTTCGATGATGGTACTTTTTTTCTAGCTGTTGCCTGCTTTTTATTTTCTCTCTCTCTTTCTCCCTTTACTGTTTTCTTTTTCTTTGTGTTTCTCTTATGCGTGTTTTTCTGTCTTGCCTCACCCTGTGGGAAACGTCAACCGTTCCCATATAGCCCATTCACAACTATACCCTCTGCAGTCCTATCCACTGGGCAGGAGCCAACACCAGCTACTCTTCACCTGATTAACAACAACAACCAACATTAGCCAAAGCTGTCCTAAACTGGGTTGAGCTATGCAAGCAGAGAACGGTGCGCATACTCCCTGTCTTGATTCACACCCACCATGAGGCAGTTGGTGAGTGCCTAGGAACACACCAACATACTGTCGTTAGTTAAATACACACACAGGGACACCACTGTGTCTAGAAGCAACAGACAGTTTTGTGCACATGAAGAAATGAGAAACAACGGCTCAAGCAAGTGACCAAGAGGCAGAGACAGAAATGTTTTAGAGGAAGAAAAAGCATAGGAATACTTGAGAAAGGATGCAAGAGAGTAATATTTGGATACCTTCAAATCATTGATTGAAAAGTCGAGGAAAACAAGGAAAAATTCAGGAAAACACTACAGGAGCAAGCCACATAGATGAAAGATTGCAGACAGTATAAAAGCGGCATGTAGAAATCCAGAAGATAAGCGTGGACATTTCAAACAGTGAAAGAGTAGATTTCAATCAACGGAAACCTGAATTAGTAAGCGTGAAGGGTATATCGCTCAGTACGGGTAAGCTAGAAAAATAAGGAAAACTAGCCAAAGAGAGCCTGAGATTCATGAAGAGGAATAATTTGTGGGTGATGAGAATTCAAGAACAGGAGAGATGTCTAGAGACAAGCTCAGAAGAAACAGTAGAAGAGTTGTTGAAAGAAAACTTCTCTAACATCTTGAAAGATGAGAAGATAGGCATTGAATACACGGAACAGAGTAGAGTCTCTGTGAGTCAGAACCGACTTGACAGCGATTCACAACAGCAAAGGAAAACAAACTCACAAGACTGAATAAAAACAGGGAACCTAAGGTATCAATTTATAATGAACACAACTCCCTAGCAAAAAGAAGGAAAAGTGTTGTTATAAAACTTCCAAATGGCATGGAAGGCAAGTCAGTTTCAAAATAAACTTCTAAGTTGAAAAAGAAATTAATAAGTTTCAGAAGGATGGTGAAGACAGGTAAAGACACAGGGAAACATGCAAGGGTTAAAGTTAAATACTGGCATATACACAGCCCCCCAACGAACAGTGTTCAACAGGCAGAGTCATGAACAGATAACACAGGTTGAGCAGGTATGGGAGGGAGAGTGGGAATGGCTGTGTTGTTGTTAGATGCTGTCAAGTTGGTTCTGTCCCAGAGTGACCCTGTGTAGGGTTTTCAAGAGTGACTGGTGGATTTGATCTGCCTACCTTATGGGTAGCAGTTCAGTGCTTATCCTGCAATGCCATAGCAGAGCCCAAAGTGGGTATGTACCTACAGATATATAAAGTTTGACAAAGGATATTTGTATTTGGCTATTTACCTTTGCTGTAAGCATATCTATGAATGTGGTGGAGCATACTGTGGAGCAGGGGACAAAGTGACGAAAACTTACTCGACAGTACCACACTCCAGCAGCTGGTGACTGGAGGCAGCTGGTGAGGGTTTAGGATCATAGACTTGGGCACCACTGTCATAATTCCCAAAGACAATGTCCCACATCCTACTTTGCTGAGTAGCGACTGGGATCTTAAAAACTAATGAGTGGCCATCTTAGATATAACTGTTGGTTTCCTGTGTGTGAAACAAAGACGAATGATGAAACTGGAAGATGCTTGGAATCAATTAACACCAATGGAACATGGGAATATCAGTTTCCACGACTCTGAGACCCTCAGAACTAGGTGGGCCCTGACTATTAATGCCAACTACTGTGAAAGGGATCACATTAGAAGGTCCCAGATAGAGGGAGAAAAGCACTGGGCTTCCTGGTCAGAAAGAGACTGGAGGAAGCAGAGACTGCAGCCTCAGCCACCCTTCCAGTGTGGAATGCAGCACGTCTTCGTGCACAGTTTTCAGCCAACTGGTAGATAGGCTGGGATCCTGTAGAGGGTTTCCCAGGAGCGGCTGGTGACTTTGAACCACTTAACCTTGCAGTAGAAACTGACCTTGCTGTATAGTGCATTGTCCCGCAGCGCCACACCCGGTAGATGAGAGGAACAACAACACTATTAAGGTGTTCTCACCAGGCATTGCTCAACTATTCAGGATCAAAAGGGCAACATTTGCTAAGAACCAAATTGTGAAGCTTTGGGAAGGAGGGTGGAATGGAAATCTGAACCACAGGGAGGAAGTGGGTGGGATACTGTTGTTGCCTGGAGGGGGCTGCAGTCAGTGAGATGCAACAAGGGGCGTGATTTGATGACTATAAAACCGATCATCTCTAGAAACCTTCACTCAAGTCACAATCAAAATTTCAAAAACAAAAACACCCCAAAGCTTTTGAAACCTAACGTATCATTGAAGGTAGCATGACACGCTGTTTTCAAACAATTCATCCCAGTAGCTTTAAGGACTACCTGTGGGATCTGTAGTCTAAGATGTCACGATCATACAGTTGAAGGGAACGTATTGGTGACATGCCTGGGCATGATGGATTCTAACAATGAAGGACCATTAACTACATCTACCTAATAGGAACAGGTATCATTCCTGATGGAAATCAAAAAGACGGCTTTTGTGGTGGAAGCTGCATGACCCAGCCTCAGACACAGTGGTGTTAGAAAGTGACAGTGGTGAAGTCTGGAAAGATAATGAAAGTACTTGTTCATCAACTATGATTTTATTGATAACTGTTATTTTATTGTATGCCGGTACTCTTTATAAATGAGAAAAGTAAGTGAAATTCTTTCACTCTGCCAAATATAAGGAAAGATGGGTTAGCTATTTTTGTCTT